TGGTTGTGGAAAGCATYGACTTTGTCGACATCACTACAACCATATAATTTTTCGGGCCCGTTGTCGGCAGGGATGCCACCTGTATCCGGATTGTGAACATCCTCTGCATCCAGATGCAGTATGTCCCATCTGTGCCTACGGGCGCTATAGCGAATGYGCACTTARCTGTGATGGTGAACRCCCCACAATGGTCATGGCCTGCAACCGGSATGCCCTCTGCYKTGCATGCTTCAGAGGTATGGTCGATGCTAGCCGTCCTGGTTCCTGCTGTGACGAAGTTGCTTACCTGAATGGTTTTCGTCCTATAGATCAGCGGGAGGGCTGCTACCATCGCCCGCATCCTTATGATAGTTGTCCTATCTTTCGTGACGGTCTTACTTAGACGTACCTTGCACCCTGACAAAAATGTGCAGGTGCGCTGAAAAGAGTGTACAAGAATGTGACAAAGGTGGGAAACCCTTCACTAAAACTGCAAAACAGTGAAGACTGCAGTAAAAGAAGAACATAAGTTTGTGTCGTTTTACTTTGTTTGTACCCTGCACCCTAACACCCTCAAAGAAAAAGTCCGAAGGGCGAAAATGAGAATAAAAAATGAAGAAGGAAGTGCAGGTGCGCTGAAAAATGAACGTGGTAGACTCCACCAAAACTGCAAAACAGTGAAAGAAAGAAGAATGCAGTAAAAGAAAGAAGATGTTTGTGTCACCCTTATTTTATTTTTATTTTTTCTCCCTCTGCCTATCGATTTTCCTTTTCTGCTCCTCTCTCCCTTGTGTTTGACACCTCTTCCTTCACTCTGCCTCTTTCCCATAGCGTGCAAGTGGGCTGTTATGGCATACGGGGATGGGGGCAGCTCGCGCTCAACTTCATCAACGTGGCGAGCCTTGTACGTTAGAGGCACAGTGGAGGAGGCGTTAAGAAGACTGAGAAACTGAATGATTTCAATGTGTCTTTGTTTTTGATTTTTATCCTTTGATTCAGTGTAAATAATTTTTGTAAAACACTGAAAGAAATAATAATACTGTGAAACAAAGTGTCATTCTGGTTTGTCTGTCTCTTTGCCTGTCTGTCCTTTCATTTTTCTTTTCTTTGCTCATCTTATTTCTTCTTCTACTTCACATGCTCATGCCCTTAGTCAATAGTTCTGTGACAATATATATATATATATATATATATATATATATATATATATATATATATATATTCTCAGTTTTTAACTGGCTTCAGCCATGTCATGGAACATATCTTATTCATCTTTCACTACCTACCCACCACTACTACTATACAAGGGATCCCTGCAAGCTTAGCTCTTTTCTATTTGACGATATATATATATATATTCTCAGTTTTTAACTGGCTTCAGCCATGTCATGGAACATATCTTATTCATCTTTCACTACCTACCCACCACTACTACTATACAAGGGATCCCTGCAAGCTTAGCTCTTTACCTCTCTTCGGTGAAGGGAGGTTACCTCTCTCGGTGGAGGGAGTAATTGCATCTTTGCCCCTTGCCCTAGTGGTTTAGAGTGCAGGGTTGGGGCCCCCACTGGGGGCCCGGCTAACACAAGGACCGAGCATTTGCCAGTAAGTAACTGTGCCTCCATTTTCATCTTCCCCGCACTCGGTGGAGGGAGTAATTGCATTTTGGCCCCCATCGAGTAACAGCAGTGTCTACAGCCAAACAATCTCTCCCACACACCACACGCAACCGACTCACACTCGCACTCACACCCGTGTTGGCTGAAGACCCTACTAATACCGACCGGGAGGATCCAGCTGACTATCTCAGTTGGTTGGCACCAAGCATACTGCAGGCGGCAATGGGATTGAACCCACGACCTCCTGAGTGCCACTAGTGTGCCTAACCAATTGAGCTAGGCCGATGGACGAAGATGACATCCTCAAGTCCGTCACGCTTTGTGTTCGTTAAACAGAACTGCCCGGCAAACCGTGGGCAGAGAGGGAGAAGAGGACAACAAACGAGGGGCTGTGACAGGCAGACTGTTCCGTAGCAATTTCACCACGGATTCATCAGGAGGCTGAACCCGCTACGGACAGTCTGCAGAGTCCCCTAACCAATGGATGATAGTGTAAGTGGTAATCCACCTTAACCCTGGTTGCGGTTGAGCATCAAACGACTTCCCGACAACCGATACCCTGGTGGGCATCAACCACTGCCCTCAAGGGGGTACGTGCGACCAAAATCCAAGCAGACTATCACTCACCCACACCAGGCGGAAAACTCAAAATACTGCACGTTCACCAACAACATCCTGGGTTGATCACAGAACAAACAAACTGTGGAGTTTGTTTTTGTCACTGTTGTGCTTCACGTTACGCGGTTGGGGACGCTCAACAGTTGTGGTTATCTCTAGCTGGGTACCAATCACTGCCCTCACAGTGCTGCTGCATCTGTTGTGTTTTTCGGCGTTGGTGACGGACTATTTTCTTTGGAAACAGCTGGGTATTGCACTGATAATTTCATCTTGTTTAGCTCCATACCTTGTTTGCTTTTCTGGCCCCCTGCATTTGCTATTCTGGCCCCCCACATTTGCTATCCTTCTCCTTCTTCTCCTGAACCTCTTGCTCTTCTGCTGAACACACTCCACTAATGGTATGCTCAAGTGATTCTGTCTCTTATACACATCTAGATGTGTATAAGAGACAGGTATTGCACTGATAATTTCATCTTGTTTAGCTCCATACCTTGTTTGCTTTTCTGGCCCCCTGCATTTGCTATTCTGGCCCCCCACATTTGCTATCCTTCTCCTTCTTCTCCTGAACCTCTTGCTCTTCTGCTGAACACACTCCACTAATGGTATGCTCAAGTGATTCATGCCTCATCATCATCATCATCGTCAGCAGCAGTAGCAGTAGCAGCAGAAGCAGAAGCAGCAGCAGCAACAGCAGCAGCAGTTTCGCACCTTCAGCTTCTTCTGCTATGCATCATTGCTGCGGCTGCTGCTGTTGCGGCAATCGCAACATGAACAACAGTTCTACCTTGATGCCTTTCAAGACTTGGGGTTGGGACTCCTCCAACGCCGCCGCCTCCTCCTCCTTCCCTTGGGCTTCCTGTCTCCTACCCGTCGCCACCTGCAGATGCACGGTTTTAGCACCCAAGAGTCAAAATTCTTTTCGTTCCTCACATTCTTCACCTTCTTCTTTTCTAAGTTTTCTTCATCTTGGCGTTCTTCGCTTTCTCCTTTTCACCTTCAGTGACAGTCACTCCTCTAGCACTGCTATGACCACCGCTACCCTCCCTTCTCCTCAATGCTTCCGCCATTGTCATCAACCATCCCCGTCATTAATCATCATCATCATCATCATCATCATCATCATCATCATCATCATCATCACTGCCAGTAGTTCTTCAACGCTTACTTCGTATTTCTAACTGAACTCTTCTAGTGCTGCTGCTTGTGCTTTTTTTTTATACTTTGTCATTGCTAAAGAAACAAAAAAAAAAAAAACCCGGAAAACAAAAAAAGATTAATGCATCTATCTTGTCACTGCATAAACAAGGTACTCTGGCACTGAAGGTTCGAGTTCTTCCCCCTCTTGTCCTGCTCGTCCTCTTCCTTCTCTTCCTCCTCTTCCTCCTCCTCGTACTGCTGCTGCTGCTGCTGCCGCTGGTCCTCCCGTTTTCTACCATCACCCTCCGGAAAGGCATTGCCTTTGCATCCAAGAGCTGACGTGGGACCACCACACCACCACCAACGTCACTATATGATCTTCATTTCACGTGTCTCTACTAGTACGATGTGACCACAGATACCACTCTGGCTTGTATTCTCCTTGTCGTATCCATAGCTGTTGTCTCGTCGTCGTCTTTCTCCTCGTGCTGTTGGCCACCTTGTTCTACCCCACACCCCAAAAGTACATCTCCATTGGATCCAAGGGTCAATGTCATCATCGGCATTCATGATCATCTCATCCTTTTATGATGTCATTGTCTCATCGTGTAATCATCATCGTCATCATCGTCAAAGCATCACCACCATCATCATTATCATCATCATCAGTGTCATTATTGTCATCAGCGTTGTTATCATTGTGGTCATTATCATCTCAGCTACGTCTACTGCTACTCATCTATGACAGATGCTATTGTTATCATCATCAACATCATCGTCATTGTCATCATCATTGTCATCATCATCATCATCATCGTCATCATCATCGTCGTCGTCACCATCTGGTCATCTGATGATCTGATCATCTGGCCATCTTCTACCACTACTCCATTGCCTGTTGTGCTACTGTTTCATTCATCCTGCGTTCTAGTTCTTTACTCTACTGCCGCTACGGCTATCATCATCATCATCATCATCATCATCATCACCACCACGACCACCACAATCATCATCGGCAGATTCGGCACCACCGTCCCTGCCTTTTTCTTTGTTTTCATGGTTGTTGTCGTGGTTATCGCCTGCCACCGCCTCCTTGTTCTCCTTCTCCTCCTTGTCCTCCACATCCTCCACGTCCTCCTTGTCCTCCTTGTCTTCCAACAACTGCCGCCTTGTCCTCCTTGTCTTCCAACAATTGCCGCCTTGTCCTCCTTGTCTTCCAACAA